ATAAATTAAAAGAATTTTGTAATTTTGCATGCTTGTGAAGTGTGAACACACAATTAATCATTTAATCTTTAGTCCATTGTTTACTTTAATGACTTGTAATAATAAGTAGCCAAAAGCAATGCGAGATTTGATATTTCATAAAGTAAAGCCAACTCCAAATCAATAAATCAAAGAAGGCTTGTTGGAGACAAATTTCCAATCATTTTGGACTACCAAATAGGCAAAATAATGATAACGTAGAAATCTTACCTTAAATGTAGATTTATCTTCACATTTGCTTCGTGACAAAAGTTCACGCGTATACATTAAGGGTGGATTAACGTATTTAGCAAGGTAAAGCTAAAAATAATGCGTTGGAAGTCACAATAAGCATACTACGTTAGAGCCTAGAGGGATGTATAAGAGATTGAGTTCTCGAATAGTGATAGCGATAAGATTTATCGTCAATTATACTCTTTAGTCTCAACATACATACACCTTATTTCTGTTCAACTTAAATTACTTTTACTAATAAATTTTATATATATTCGCAAAAAAATTTGCTCAACAACCCAACCAAGACTCATTTTTTGTCAAAGAAATAAACTACATACGGAGTATCATGTTTATTTTCCCTAAGCTAAACTTATATATAGGAGACCAAGCAATCGTGTACCTTCCTCTTTAAATACAAGAGCAAGTATTTGAAAAATTTCACGATTATATATTTGTTTAAAGGTAGAAGTAGAACATAGGAAAAGATACAAAGGATAATTTTGTTTCATATTGCTGCAATGATTCATATGTACGGAATACGGAGGAAATTTTGGCATGCATGTATAGCTGTTAGTGGGCAACATTCCTGCTGTCTTCAAACAAAATAATTAGTTGCAGTAACTCGTGACACTCAGTTGATTTCTTAGAAGTTGGGCGAGTATAGGTTAGACATTTTTGTTTAGAAAAATATAAATAGATGTTAATGGTTATCATTATTGCATGCTAATTACTAGATTAGTAGACTAATTACTAGCTAGATAACACTGTTATGGAGTTAGGTTATAACTTTTGAGGACTATATTTGACAGTACGTGTTAGTGGAGTAGTAGGTTAATTGGGTTGGACAGTACGTTGTTTGTTTTTGGAGTCGAGGCTCGAGAAGTAGATCAGATGCATGCATCATTGCATCAATAATCCATTTTATATACTTTATTATCCTCGATCTTTTGTTGCTTCAGGAGATTTCTTATTTTACTATATTTGATTAAAATAAAGTATTTGTGTTAATATGAAGTTAATTTATAAAACTAGGATACAGTATATGTCATCTATTGTCGTATATTTGTATAATTGTTGTTTGTGAGACTTACATATTTTAGAGTTTATAATTATCTGAAATTAAATATAATAAGCTGGAATACGTAGTGTTCACATTTATTTGATTGGAGTATGCATATGAAAAAAGAATGAAAAATCACGGTCGACAATCAAACTAAGATAAAATACAAAAGATTGCAATATAGACAATGCTGGCTAAGTAGTGACGTGGAGATCATGAATTACTTGTTTGGTTACAAGCAAAAAGAGGGGGATGATAGACTTCCTACAAATTTTATTTGTCATATTGATTGACTTACATGAAATAGATGAAATGGGGGAAGTGATGCTTGTAAAGTTAATTAAAATTTACATGAGACATGAGAAGTGTCTTACTTCGTTAATTCCTATTAAGTGTGAATGCATGGCTTATCAACTTAAAGGCCAATCAAACAAGAGTAATATGTCAATTCTTAAGAAGTGCATAAGGCAAAGTTCCCATAACAATAAATAAACTTTTCATAAGATTTAATTATTTCATATATGAACCAAACAAGCCCTTTTTGAATTAAAAAAATGATAAATGTTATCTTAAGGGTTGTACAAAAAAAAAAAAAAAAAAAAAAAAAAAATCTAAGATTTATATTAAGCAAATGGAGCACTAATTGATGTAGAATTTTGTCATACATTCCAAATTTAAATAACTTTTTAATTAATAATACTAATTATTTTATTTATTGTTTTTATGATAAAACTATATAATGTATCACTTGTATATTTAAGTATTATATTAAGGCGACTGTTAATCAAATCTACGATATATTCAGTTTTAAGGTGTGTACTTGTGTTGGAATTCTTGATTTCTTAGGAATCATATGTAAGTTCCGTTTGGGTATATTTTATTAATGAAATCACTTTTCTTCTTGTCAAAAAAAAAAAAGAAAAAAGAAAAGAAAAGAAAAAAAAAAGCAAAAATATTTAACCTAGGATGCAATCTATTCATCTAAATTGATATGAAATTAACTTATTAAGTTTGATTAAACATCATTGCCGGATTTTTACCTTATATATACATGATTGAACCTGATTAATCCTGATAAGACCTAGCTAAATCTATTTTTAAAAGAAAAAATAGAAAACACTTTTAATTGTAAAATTTATTATCTGAAGCTTGTCTCCTCAATTCAATTTCTTTTATCATGATATATTCCTTTCTTAAATTTTTACTTCCTTTAATCTTTTTTTTTTTCTTTTTTTTTAAGGAATCGTATAATCTTATGTAATTCTAATCCATTCTTTAAAAAAAAAAAAAAAAAAACGATGTAAATAAATAACCACTTTTCATCTTGTAATTAGAGCTGTCAATTCGGGTAAACGGGTCGAGTTTGGGTCGGGTCAACTCAGGTCGGGTCATTTCGGGTTAATTTCATAATCTTTTCGGGTCGAGTTCGGGTTGGGTCAAGCTTGAGTCGGGTAACGTCGGGTCATATATCTTTTCGGGTTTGGGTCGGGTTTAGGTTGGGTTAATAACAGGTCGGGTTACATTCGGGTCGGGTGAATAATAGGTCTGGTTTAATTCGGGTTTTCACGGGTTAAAACGGGTTAGGGTCATTCTCGGGTTCAAGTCGGGTTCGGTTCAAGTCAATAATTTGCGGGTTATAATCAGGTTGGGTCATTTTCAAGTCGGGTCATTCTCGGGTTCAAGTCGGGTTTGGTTCAAGTCGATTATTTTCAGGTTACAATCAGGTCGGGTCATGTTCGGGTTCAAGTCGGGTTCGGTTTAAGTCGATTATTTGCGGGTTACAATCAGGTCGGGTCATGTTCGGCTTCAAGTCGGGTTCTATTCAAGTCTATTATTTGCGGGTTATAATCAGGTCGGATCATTTCCAAGTCAGGTCATGTTTGGGTTCGAATCTCAAATATTGGGTTAATCAGGGTATCGAGTTGATTTCAGATTGGGTCATATCAAGTTCGATTACATTTTTTGGGTCGGTTTGTCAACAGTTCATGTAATGACATTCACGTTGACTCATTATCAATTACTTTGCTTATTATAAGAGAAATAATTTCAGATAAGTTAAATTCTAATAAGTTTAGATAAGATAGGTTTAGTTTAGATTTTTAGAAGATAAGTTCAAACCCTATTCTAATCTATTCACATTGATTCAACTCATTTTAGGGATAATAATTTAAGTTCATATTCGAGATGACTTGTTTAGATAAAATATAGTCAATTCATACAAATTCGGATAAAATAGGTTTAGTTTAGATAAGTTAAAATACAACAATTTTTTTTTTCTAAACTTATTTTATTTGAAATTATCTAAACTTGTTTATTTTTTATAAGTTCATATCCGTGTTCACGTTTTTTTTAATGGCATTATTCATAACATTTTAAGATTAATTAGGCAAATGAATAATAAAATTAGAAAAATAAAAGACCAATAAAAACCTTTTAACAGCTCTTGTTCGGGTCACCACTTTCTCGAGTACAAGCAAGTCAAAACATGATTGAGTACAGGTAAATTATGTGGGTCGAATTATCATCGCATTCAATCATTATTCGAAATTATTATTTTTTTTAACTTTTTTTTTTATGTGGGTCTCCCTACATCCAAGACAAAATACTTTGATAAATATTAACATAGAGTAATTTTAGCCTTACGAAGGTTCGACATAACGAGTAGCTTAGAATATATATAACATATATCTTTATTCAGTATCTGATCTACAATAATAAGGATGTATAAAATAACAAGTCGAGTTGATTTCAGGTCAGGTCAATAACAAGTCGGGTTGAATTTGGGACGGGTCCATAACAAGTCGGGTTGATTTCGGGTCGGGTTAGTGACAGATCGGGTCTGGTTAGTGATAGATCGGGTTGAAGTTCGGGTCGGGTTAGTAATAAGTCGGGTTAAATTCGAGTCGGGTTAGGAATAGGTCGGGTTGAATTCAGGTCGGGTTAATTTCGGGTTTTCACGGGTTAAAACGGGTTTGGGTCAATTTCGGTTCTGGTCGGGTTCGGTTCAAGTCAATATTTTACGGGTCATCTTCGGGTCGGGTCATCTCCGGGTCGGGTCATGTTCGGGTTCGGGTCTCAAATACTCGGGTTAACTCGGGTCTCGGGTTGGTTTCAGGTCGGGTCATATCGGGTTCGGGTCATCATTTTTCCGGGTTTAGACGGATCGGTTAATAATCGGATACAGATTGATATTTCGGGTCGGGTCAGCTTTTGACAGCTCTACTTGTAATCATGTATTTATTACATTTTTTTTTAGTGGGTAAAGACCTTTGTATTTTTGTAGACACTCTAGTAGTCAAGTGTAATATTGTACAGTAGGACCTACACTTTGACCATATTTTAGGCAGTAAGTCAAATTATTATGAGTAATAATCGAAGTATGAAGCATCTCATACGGAGTACAAAAGTACCTTTCCTTTCCACAACATATTCTATACTTGTATTTCCAAGCAAAAATAAAAATTGGGTATTATTTTCCTTTGAAAAAGAATATTATTGCAAAAATACCACCTGTCCATCACACATTTTCACATTAATGCTGAAATTGTACATCTTCAAGAAGATTATAAAGTTAATTAAGCCAAAAAAACTCAAACATCAATTTTCGTCTCCAAATCCATTATTTCCTCTTCTTCCTTCTTAAGGAAAACAAGAAAATTTCCAAAATCCAAATTCCAAAGTTCCAAAAATAAAAATAATTATTTTTGTTTTTTTATATATAAAAAATTAATTTTATAAATATAGTTTATTCCTTCGAAGTCTCTCCTCCTTCAAAGTCTCCGATTTGACCACCATTTCCAATCAGCAGCACCACCATCATCTCCCCCCACCACCCTCTCTTTCTCACCTGCTTCCTTCTTCTTTCCTACCCTTTTTCTCTCTCTTCCCCCATTTTGTTCCCCTTATTATATAAATCAATTTAATCCCTCATTTTCCCCCAATTTTAATTTTAGTGGGTATTCATTAATTCCCCAATTAATCAAACAAATCGAATTTAATCCCCCAAAAAAATCGAAATAAAAAGATGGGTTCTTGTTTATCATCTTCAAAAGTAAATGGATCAAACAGCAATACGACCTCGAATACCACGACTACCGCCGGCACCGCCACAACCTCCGGCACCGCCACATTGACGGTGAACAATCACAAGAAAGAACCCACGAAAATGGTGGCGAAAACGGCGGCGAAAAGCGAGCAAAAACAGAGCAATACAGAGGGCCCACAAAAACAGAGGAATACTGTTCCAATGGTTAAACTTAGAGATAGAACGAATTCACGCCGTCAAAGTTCAATTCCTTGTGGTAAACGAACAGATTTTGGGTATGAAAAAGATTTTGATTCCAAATATACAATTGGGAAATTATTAGGGCATGGACAATTTGGGTATACTTATGTTGCTACTGATAAATCTAATGCTGATCGTGTTGCTGTTAAAAAGATTGATAAGAGTAAGGTACTAATTTCTTTTTTAATTTTCTGGGTTTTTTTTTTTTTTTTTTTTTTTTTTTTTTTTAAATTTTATTTTTGGGTTAAAGTTTGTAATTAATTTGATTGTTTTTTTTTTTTCCTGTTTTTGGAAAGAGGGGTTGTTGAAAATTTGATTTGTTTGTAACATGGGTTTTTGTGTTTTGTTTTTATTTAATGGTTTTGGTTATTGGGTTAATTGTGAAATTGGGATTGGTTGGTTAGTTGGTTCATCTTCTCGTTGTGGATTAAATGATGATGAATCATCAAAGGTTCTTGTCTTGTTGCTGGTTTAGTAATTAAGATTTTAGAAGGTGAAGAAGGTCAAATTTGGAATTCCTAAAGCAATTAATAGTTGCTAATTATGTCTGTTTTTTTTTGTAGGTTTAGAAGAATTAGATAGTTAGGTTATAGGTTATTATAATTAATCATTTGATTTTTGGCTAATCTATAGTAGTCGAAATCAATTAGATAAGGCGGTATCATGGAATTCACTAGGAATATGCTAATGGAAACTTGTAATACTGGTGGTTTGCTGAATTTTGCTCTTTAATAACCTTAATGTGATGATTATAACAAATTCATGCCTTTCGTTGCAGATGATACTTCCAATCGCTGTGGAGGATGTTAAGCGCGAAGTTAAGATATTGAAGGCCCTTACAGGCCATGAGAATGTAGTTCAGTTCCATAACGCATTTGAGGATGAAAACTATGTGTACATAGTGATGGAGTAAGTTTTACCATCCACTTATATGAGAGTACTTTTAAAGCTTACTTAATTTGATAGGAGCAAATTGTATTCGGTTTTAGCCACTGATGAAGAGCCCGGGGGGCTAGGCTGAAATAGAACTATTGACAATGCTTTGAATTGCTTAATATTTCTCCTCTATTCTGTGAACTAATTATCACTTATCATCAGGTTATGTGAAGGTGGAGAGTTGTTGGATCGAATACTATCCAAGTAAGCAATGTTCTATTTTTCTGTCTTTTTCATCAATTAATTCCCAGCAGCCACCTTGATGTGTGTGTGTGTATTTCATCTTTTTTTTGGCTACTTAAATGTTCTAATGTTAATCACTTTTGTATTAAATTCAGAAAGGATAGCCGATATTCAGAGAAAGACGCAGCAGTGGTGGTCCGTCAGATGTTGAGAGTTGCTGCTCAGTGTCATTTACATGGTTTGGTTCACCGTGATATGAAGCCTGAGGTAGACTTTCATATGTGCGCATATGAACCTTAAAATCCAGTTCGATGGAGTGGTATTTATGTTTAATTCCAACACGTTTCTTGCTTGTAGAATTTTCTTTTCAAGTCAGCTAAAGATGATTCACCATTAAAGGCGACAGATTTTGGTCTATCAGATTTCATCAAACCTGGTGAGTAGGAGCTTTATCATCAATTTTGGACACTTAAGTTTTCTCCTTTGCATGGTTCTGGAGGTTCCTTCGCCTTTTCCTTCTATGAACTTTAAGTGGAATAACCAGTGAAATACTGAACTTTGTAATGACTACTTTTTCTGCCGTTTTCTGTTTGTGGACACTCTCATTGTTTTGCTAAGTGTCATACGGGTTGCTTCCAAATTCTAACACTGCTGATAAAATTTTCTACTTTCAGGGAGAAAGTTCACAGATATTGTTGGTAGTGCTTACTATGTTGCTCCAGAAGTATTGAAACGAAAATCAGGCCCAGAGTCTGATGTTTGGAGCATTGGTGTCATCACCTATATATTGCTTTGTGGGAGACGACCATTTTGGGATAAAACTGAAGGTGGTGTATTCAAAGAGGTATATAAATTGTGTATTTTTTAACATTATTGACATCTTTTTCTCTTTCTATTTTCTGTATGTATATACTTGCAAGTTTGCCATATTTTGAAGAAATTTTTTTTTTTTGACTTTCAACTTATTCTCACAATTTGTGTTTTATTAATTTGGACTGTACTTGTGTGTTTATCTACTACTATGCGATTTTTTTTTATTGAGGACACTCTGACACTGCTTTAGAAGTTCATGTAGTGTTTCAATATCTGTTTCATGTATAAGCTGCAGGACTGGCATTTAATACAAATTGTGATTCTTCCCAACTTATCATATATGGAGCCTGTTTTCTGTCATGCTCAATAGAAATACTTGTATTTCAGGTTTTGCGGAACAAGCCTGATTTCCGACGTAAACCATGGCCTACTATAAGCAATGGTGCCAAGGACTTTGTGAAGAAATTATTGGTGAAGGATCCTCGTACTCGACTTACTGCTGCCCAGGCACTCTGTATGTATCTGGTCTTTTCTTGTATTTACATCATGCTCAATGGAACTCGTCTGTTAATTTAATAGTACAGGGAAATTCCCAATTAAATTTTGTCTATAGCTTAAGTTCAATTTATATTTTAATATAAAATATTTTTCCATATTGACTGGTATTTTTGGTTTGCTTTGTTTTTTTAGCACACCCCTGGGTCAGAGAAGGTGGAAATGCTTCTGATATTCCCATAGACATATCAGTCCTACGTAACATGCGGCAATTTGTCAAGTACAGTCGAATGAAGCAGTTTGCCTTGAGGGTATGATAATTCTCAGTGAAGCTTAGAATTATTATTATTATTTTTTAACATTCTCTCCCCATCATAACCTCTTTTACTTGTGTCCCCCCTTAGGCATTGGCAAGTACACTTAATGAAGATGAGCTGGCTGATCTGCGAGATCAGTTTGATGCTATTGACATTGATAAAAATGGAACCATCAGTCTTGAAGAAATGAGGCAGGTGTGTTCTGGTTTACTCTAAATTTGGGATTTAGAGTTGATTATATTATATTGCCTAAAGGTTCAGTTTTTTTTGTCTTTGATTGAATACCTTTTTGACACAACCGAGCTTTTACAGGCCCTTGCTAAGGACCTTCCTTGGAAGTTAAAAGATTCCCGTGTTACAGAGATTGTTGAAGCGGTAATTATAAGTTTTCTGTTTCCACTGCCACTGGCAAATTCTTTTTCTGATATATTTGATGTCATACTTTAACAATAAACTATTGCTTTTAAAGTCCTGATTGTGTTATGTCTGTTTTGAGGCAGATTGACAGCAACACAGATGGCCTTGTGGATTTCACAGAGTTCGTTGCAGCAACTCTACATATACATCAATTGCACGAGCTTGACAATGATAAATGGCAAGAACTTTCACAGGCAGCCTTTGAAAAGTTTGATGTGGATAAAGATGGATTTATAACCCCTGAAGAACTCAGAATGGTTAGTTTAGCTGGCATTGAGAATTTAAGCACCTAGATCTCAGATCTGATCTGTCATTAGCAGTGTGTTATTATTATTGGCATGTGTTCTCTCTAGTGACCACTGGAATTATGACACTGCACTATCGTACTCTTCTGTAACTGTCACTGACTCACTGTCCTGCTTCCTAGTATATATCTGTTGTGGGGGCCGGGGGCCGGGGGGGGGTGGTGTTTCAAGTTAGATGTCATACAGCCTTTACATTTTCCCATCTGGTAAGGTTTTCAGGTGACAGTGAATGTACAAATTGGTTCTGGATGTTTTGACATACGAGTGTTAAATCACCCTCCGAGATAGGGAAACTAATTCAATCTTAAAAAAATCAGCCATATTAATGATTTTTCTAGTTCAATAAGGGGTCAGTTTGGAAATAAATTACCCGGGATTTGATCAAATGATCTATTTTTGGAGTATGGGCATGGTTATCTCTTATTTCGCATGTACAATATGTTCTCTTTTGAACCATGATATAAGGAGAAATATGCTCTTTAATAAATTTTAGAACTGATTGAGAAAATGAGGAACAGGAAAACCAAAAACCAATCTTTTCCAACTTATCATTGTATTGTACTGATGTTGTGAAGTGTTACTTCTCGCCGATATTGTTTCTATTATCTGCTCTTACTACATTTATGCTTTTTACACATTTGTTATGTATATTTTTTTTCTTTCTTCAGCAAACTGGATTGAAGGGGTCAGTGGATCCACTTTTAGAGGAGGCTGACATTGATAAAGACGGGAAAATAAGCCTGGCAGAATTCCGAAGGCTTCTGAGATCAGCAAGCATCAGTTCACGGAATGTTGCCAGCCCAACCTGCCGAAAGAATTCAAGGAAGCTTTGAAAAAATACAGCTCTGAAGCTTGCATAGTGCATGCTTGTCGATTATGAGCTTGGCATCTCCTTGTTCACATCAGAAGGGGGAGTAGAGGGAACTAGCAGGATGAAGTTGCAGAAACTTCAAATTACACTGATTGTGTGAACTTGTTCGGGGAAGTGGGGATTAAGGAGGAAGAGAAAAGGAAAGTGTGGAAAGGATTATGGTGAGGCTGTTAGGGGGTGTTTGATATTGATCATGGCGATCGATTCAAAGGGTGGTTTCACAAGGGAAAGACCAGATTTGGTGTGTATCCTCTTTATTCTGGTTGAATCCAGAGTCTTTGTTTTTGAGTTTAATCCTAGGAAGGGATTGAACGAAATCTGTTGGATATGCTAATTTGGGGATGTAAACTTTACCTTGTATATATCTCATCAACAGTTATATATAGAGAAAAAAGTGAAGGCGTGAATTTTTTTTTTTTCTTTTTAACAATTTTGTGGATAAATCTAAAACAAATTTTGCTTCGAAAACTGCTACATTGATTTTTATTACATTATTGTGTAACTAGACTTATTAACTGTCATTCACTTTCGTAACCCCATGATCAAATCCAAACTACCAACTAATTTTAAACAAAAACTCACCATCCCATGACAAAAGCTCACTCTTAAACTATGCAACCATCACCACCTCGCTGTTACTGACTCACTGCTTCTGCCATCAAAACCACTTCCCCAAATTTGACAGTGAATAGAAGAGAAAAACAAGAAGAGGGAACTGCCCAGGAGGGGCCGAGGGAGGTGCAGCGAGACTTTCCAGTAATATTTTATGTTCTTCCTTTTGAGTACCGATTCTTCTCTGCACATGCAAATGAAGCCCTTTTTAGAGTCCGGTGGTTGAGCAAGGAATGTATGTTTTTGACATAGGACAAGGTCAGTCCAAGAAAGCAGCTTGGACTTCCTCTTCAACCTGCATAAACTATGGAGTAAAGTCCCATTTTATTGATGCAGTCTACGTTCCAACGTAACACCCTGATCCAGATTTTCTGCAACATTGTCATCAACACTGCAAGTCTGCAATAACTCCCATGCAGAAGTTCAGGTCACCAGATGATCATCAAGGAGGGCGAACCAGAGTATCAGGTAAACTATGAAATGCACATGGCGTTCCCATAATGAATCATGAAAACTACAAATACACGAAGTATCAAATTTGAAATTTACAGGCAATATTGCAAAGATGCTAGTTTAGGTCCCTATGATTAATTTTTACAGACGAAGTAACAATAAATCGTCAAAACAAGCCTTGCCACAGCCACCAGATTGATCTAAGTCAGGTTCTAACTATGGTAACGCGTGTAAGGGAGTTCATGTTTCCCACAACCAAGCTTGCCTGATGTTCTATCCCTTGTTTGGTAATAGTTGAATTTTTCCGGAATGTTGTTAGCAGCTAATCAAGAGAAAAGGACAAGGGAAACTGCTTCATTTGTCAGACTTTGGAACGTGACTTACACTATTGGAAGAACTCTCTTGAGGTACTTGACTGGAGGAAAATCTGCTTGGAGAGCCTCCATCCGTGGCACTTTTTTCCTTCTTTTGTGAATGCTTGCCCTTCCTATCTCCAGATTCCTGCATTAACGTAAAAATCCTAGTCATGCATTTTTCCATACGGCTTATACAGTGAAGCAAACTACACTGGTCCAACTAACCTGCTGCTGCCCGCAACCGGGCATCTTCAGTTCCAGCTCTGTCGTTACATCACTGGAATCATCGGTTCTTTCAAGGTGTCTGGCTTTTCCACTGTCTGAACTTTTGCTTGGTTTGCTCAATACATGAGAAGTGGGTGCAGGCTGAATGGGTTGTTGCTCAACATGTGGATTTGGAGGCGTTGGGTATGGCATAAAAGTTGGGCGGGGGCTAGGAATTGTACTAGCATTTTGGCTTCCAAAGAAAGGGTAAGGCTGAAGAGATGGGTGCATTGGAATTGAACCTGGGGGCACTGCCATAGGTAGCGAATATGAGTAAGGTGGCCCCATAACAACGGAAGATTCAATAGCACCCCAAGGGTAAACTACCCTGAGTCTCTGCTGATACTGAGCATTGAGGTTCTCAATGTCTGATTTCAGGGATGCCTTCTCTTCTCTAAGCTCATTTTTCTCCTGGGTCAACTGTTGCAATCAATTCATGAGAAATGCACTAGGATAACCTCAAAGGCTTTTAAGTACAAAGAATTTCGCAAATATCACCTCATGTGATTCCTCTGAGAGGGTAGCACATTCAGCTTTTAGTTTGTTGACCTCAGCAGTCAAATCTCTTAATATTTGGATGGCATCTGTCAAGATAGTCGCTTTATCATTCTTAGGCCGCTCTGGATCTGGATAAGGGTGAAAATCTTTGTCAGCAAAAAATACAGCTAATAACTTTGTCAACCAACTACCAATTAGAGTAATAAATAGTTGGGATTAATTGGTAGTTCTTTAAGTGTTCGGGACAACTAGCTTTTGGTATAGATTTTTGGAGACTAGAGTGGTAGTGGAATGTGGTTTTAGCAAGAAACGGAACAACTAGCTTCAACCTCAAACATCTACTAGAAACCGCTACTTTAATCGAACACTACATTTCATCTTTTACAGAGTTTTGACTCGCTAACTGCTACTTGAAAAACTGTCATTGCCCTTATAACTATCACTCATCTAGTTCCGGACCACCACATTCCTTCTAAAGAATTATTAGCTTAATGGTTCAGCACATAGGAAACATGTATTGGTTAAACTCTAATGATCACTCCCTCTGTTAAAAAGTAATAAGCCACAATTGACTTTGTGGTCAAGCCTTAAAAATTTTAAACAATATATATTAATTCATTAAAATAAAGCCATACAACATCTACAAATAAAATCTAAATTTAACAAATACATAAAAATATTGAATCAAACAAAGAATTTCTTCACTGAACATATGATCGTTGAGGACGATTTTCATCTGATTCATCATTTGAGCATATTTGACAATTTGACAACCTTTGCAACCCCGCACATATCTTAACCATCAAGTCAATTGTAGGGCAGAAGATGATAGATTTCTTTTATAAACCCTAGCCTATAATAGTTACCTAAGGGGAACAAACAACTACACCAACTACCAACAACTCCACCCTAGGGAATTTGGAACATCTACACTATTGGTGTAGATTATTGAAATTAACAAGAGAGAAAACAAAGAAAATGGGCTGGAAATAGTCTAATATTGCGGAAATAATTATAATATACTATTTCCAGCCCAATTGGCAAAAAAATATGAAGCCCTTATAAAAATGAAAATTTTATATACATTAAATTAAAAGCCCCTTTTGTGAAAATTCCTTCCCAAGAAATACGGAGTATGTTATTTACACATTGCAACTCAAACACTATACTAGTAAATAATCATGTTTTTACTACCATACTCATACGTGGTCCATCATTTGAAACGGGAATAGTATTTGAAGTCCTTTCTCACAAGAACAAGAGTTATAAAAGCTATGGAGACCAGATGTATCACAGATTTGATGTACATACTCAGGAGCTAATAACATTAAAAGTCATCAATCATGTCTCTGGTTAAAGTTCCATCAAAAAAATTTCAATAACCTTCTTTATGTTCACACTCTCACTCAGAGAGTTATGCACTTTAACTACAAAAAAAGTCTTCTTCAGATTACAAAATGAGATAAATAAAGCCCTTATGAAAGAATAAAAAAATGCAAGGGCAATTATGTTTTAGAATGCAGGTTGCAATTTATGGAAGACGAAAACACTGGATTCAATGTTTGACAAACTAGAGAGTGAAGGATAGCTCAAGTGGTTAGAGCTTCCCTCCCGGTTTCAGGAGATCCTGGGATTGATTCTCACCCTTACCCTTGTGGCTCTCTAAACACCAAAAAAATGTTTGACAAACTAATCATTCACTTAAATTTGTCCTTTGTTGATGATTGATGACAATGCCTTACCTCTGGATCAGTAAAACTAGCTGAGAGCAACTTTTGAAAGACCTACATTAGAAAGGTCCAGGTAAGAAAGGAAGGGTGAAATGACTACAAAACAGCCAAAATCCAGAAGAGCAAGGTCAGTAATATTCCTCTAAGTTTTGTATCAGATAAGCGAATTGCTCAAGCAGACCTTTTCAGGGGTATATATAGCATACCTGCATAGGTTCTGTATGAAACATTAGCCTAAGAGGTTCCTAGGATTCCTTTTAAATCCATCTAGCAATTGGGCTCATAAGGTCTTACAATGGTCTGAGTGCTTCTAATTGAGATGAAATTCATGCAATGGAGCAGTCAGGAAGATTGGTTGATTTCTAATAGTAGCAGTGTCTCTAAAGGTTTGTGTGCTTTCATAGCTTGGAGAGTCACTCATCGTCTCATCATAACCCCGGCCAACTCCCATGTTATGAAATTATTTAGAAGCAATGATATGTACAGTATAATTGTATACTACCCTCAGGAACTTCTTACTCCTACAGTATTGTAGTATAACATGAACTTATCAATTGCGTTTTTCCAATAACACCAATACCACAAAGATGATTTATGAAGGAAACAAATGCAGCAAGGGAGAAGTATGCACAAAAGAAAATACTGTATACTTTACCTAAAGCACTTCCAAGCTCTTGAAACTGATCATTTAATCGATCCCTCCTCAACTTTTCCCGGTCTGCCTTCTGAACCTTTCGTACAGCGACAGGATCCTTTACTTCTGCCTCAGGCCTTTGTCTATGAAACAAAAGTGTAAACCAAAAAATACAAATCATTCCTTTTCTCTGCTAATCAAAGGCTCACCTTGGTTGATTAGTTTGACGATTACAGGGGAATCAGTTTCCTCTCTTTTCCCTTACTCTACTCTGAACTAAGTAACAATTACCTCTTCTCCATCAAATGTGGCTATGTAATCAACCTTATGAATGATAAAATTTGTGTTCAATTATACATCTTTAGCTTATTTAGACCACTATTTCTACATAAAAACAACTTTCGACCAAGTGTATACAGCAACAGAAACAATACATGACCATAATCACCCAATATTACTTAAACAACTGAAGTACTGTATATACTTCATCTACTAGTTCTACAAATTGCAACTTCCTCCAAAATTTCCAAAAGTTCTTCCAATTAAATGTCCCACAATTTATACATAGTTCATTAATTTAATTACTTAACACTATTAAAAAAAAAAAAAAAAACCTCTATTTTCAAATTCATCAAAATTAAGAAAACAATAGGATAAACACAAATAAACTGAAACCCAATTCTCAAATTTGCAGCTAATACCCAGAAAATAATAATACTAAGAGAGAGAGAGAGAGTAAAAAACCTGGAATCAAGCTGGGAGCTTTGGGATGGATTAAGAGGTTGACAAACTTTATCAGTTTGCCACTGATCCATACTTTAGTAGTATTAATTTCCCAATTAATACTACTTCAAACTAAACTAAATTAAACTAGGGTTTTTTTTGGTGAAGTGGGTAAAATTTTGATTTCTGATTACACTTTTTGAACAGAAAATTATACAAAATGAGTAAGAAATTACAATTTTTTTGTGTTTGTTTGTTGTTGTCTCCTCCTCCTCTTGCACGATCACATGGAAGATGAACCGAACCCAGAAAATTATGAAACATAAAATAAAAATGAAATTGTGGCGTGCACACGCTTATTTTTATTTATTTATTTATTTATTTATTTTGGGAAAAAAGAAGTCATGTACAGTGTACTGAGGTGAGGATAGTTGACTTTATTATTGGATTAACATGATATTTAGGCATTATCATAGAATTATAGATTTCAATAAATTAACCTTTGTAGTTGTCTTGTTGACCATTATGTCTATGCATATGTTTAGCCACCATAATTAGCAGGAATTAGACAAAAGTGTAATTGGATCTTGGATATAGAGGGGCAATCAATTATGTGTAGAATCATAGATCATATATTAATGATTAATGATTATGTGTAGAATCATTTTTCATTTGTAGACATATATATTTCATGTAATACAAGTGTCAATTTTTTAAAGATTATTAACAATACCTATCATTCATAGATTGTTGTGAAAATTCAAAATGAATTTATAAATAAATAAATAATCAAATTGTTCCCTCATTGATGAAGCATGGGCAAGTCTTAGAAATGGATACACAAGTTTCCCATCTAATTACTAAAGATGGTAAAGATGACACCGAGGTTTGTATAAGTTTCAATTCCTCATGAAGTCATGAACATGTTTTTTATCAGTTTAATCATAATACGGAGTATTTGTTCAAACCAATTAACTTTTAGGTTTACCATTAATTTTCTTTATTTTATTTGAATTATACTAGCATGGTTTGACAAATAAAAACATGTCAAACTGTCATTTACGATATTTGTCCTTTCGCGTAGGATTTGTTTGATGGTAAGAATAACAAATTAAAAGTACACTTTGACATTCTTATATTCATCCTAATTCTTTAGAAAATTTCCATAAGAAAAGGGTTCCTTAAGCTACCATATACCTTTACAAGGGAAAAACAAGTCTTTGAAAATATTGCTTAAAGAATTCTTTCCAGAATCAAATAGAATTAGTGCTACACACTACCGAATAATACGCAGTAAAATCTCTTTGTGATGAGATAAAATTAGAAGGGAAAAAACCGAAGGCATTGAAAATCATTGTTGTTGAGCAACTCTTCTAGATTTCTAATTCATAAGCAATGGATTAATTTATAAGCATTCCTAATTATAGTCGTAAAAAAACTTGCAATATAATGCTCTCTTTCGTCAAAATAATTGAAGACGGTGTAGTAATTTGTACAACAATGACCCTATTCATAGAGATCCATTCTCAAAATACAATATTAACATGTAATTAACTTAAAGGATCAATATATAACAAGGGAGCAAAACCCAGATCAATGATCCTTCTTTTAGATTGAGAAACTAAATTGTAAAAGAAACATAATGAAATTTGATAAAGGTACAATGAATAGGATCTACCAATAATTAACAGTACATCAGAAGTTATGTCCAATATCAACTTTGTGTTACTTCATCCAGTAAGAGAATTCTACACACCTCCCCCCAGATACCTGAACAAAATTGGCAAGCAAAAGCATATCAAAAAAACCATTAGTGTTTGAAAATATAATGTTGACGATTAAAACATTGTAACCCAGCAAGATGTGGGATTGTTCGATTCACTGTCATAAAGATAAAGTTCAGGCAGGAAAACAGAGAGAGAGAGAGAGAGAGAGAGAGAGAGAGAAGGCAAATAATGCACTGTAAGCTTGACATCAAGCCTGGGAGCAAATGGGAATGGGAAGGTTAATAAGTTTAAAGTAGCAAAAAAGAAGCTATTCACGTGAAACAATAGTATGGCTGTGCATTCGACTCAGCTCCACCCTCCAACTCTCCCTTCCCCAAGTCAATGTCCTACTGCTATGAGAGACTACATGTCACTTTTGAACAGGGCGTTGGAACTCTTCCCCAAGTGGCCGATTGCTAAAACTATGCTTATTCCCAGCGAGTAAAAAATTTCAGACATAGACATACTCCGGACTCAATTAAAGGAAATAAAAATCACATTCAAGCACACTTTTCATTGCCCAAATGGCCAATATCTAGAGACCAAAGAAAATCCCTGAACATGTCTCTCATCTTTGTCCCCCAGTCAAGAGAATGAAAGTTCTGCAGCTAGAAACTTATAAAGTATTATAAAACAAAAGAGAACAATTCCTTTTATGCCTAATAGTGACACAGAATAGGGAAGTCATAACAATGCAGTGGAAAGAGGGTAATTGGTTCCCTCTTAAAGATGGGCAAATTACAACTGAAGAAAGAAGCTTTGGGATTATTGGATCACTAACAGTCTATCAATGGTCTCAAAGCAATACAAGTCCATGAAGGTCAGTGACCGACATACCACGAATCAGTCACTAAACCGAACAAAGCCTAATTAAATTGGAAAAATTGATAAATAATAATCCCAACTTTCGCCCATTTGCTTAAAATAATCCCAACTATGGATTATTTTAAAATAATCCGAACTTTGAGGGTCATTTACTTTTATCGGTCCCAAGTGACCAGTAACCTGTTAAAGAGGTTTTTTTTTTTCAGATTTAACTGACACGTGTCAGCACGTGGAAGGTTGAAAAAAAATATTAATAAAAACTTAAAAAAAAAAAAAAAAATCCCACACGCAACCCCACCACCACCGTCCTGGCAGCCCCCTTTCCCTAAATTCCAGCCAGGTCACCCTGCCCCATTCCCGCCGGCGACTAGAGACCCCTCCTCCGTGACGGTGCCGGCGCCATACCTCCCCCTACCCATTGCAAATCTTAATCAAAATGTGAAGGTGAATTAAATTGCAACGGAATATCGCAAGGCGAAGACGGTCAGTGTGGTGGGATATTGAGTGTGGTGGGATATTGAGTGTGGTCCGATGCCCAAGAATTATGATCCTAATTTAATTGCACACAATATTGCCTCTGCCCTCCTTAACTTGAACTACGGTGGTTGTGTTTCAATATTGGCTTACGGCGACACTCAGCGTATTTCTTCAGCCGTTTAGCACGCCCTTTTCTCCACCAGCATTTCCCTCAACCACGTCCCTACTAGTATTTGATTTTATCTTGTTCCAACTTTTATTAATTTGATTATGAAATATTTTTGGGTATCAGTGTATTAATTTTTAGTTTGTAGATACTGATTAATGAAATCATTTCTGGTACTAAGTTGTGATTACTTAGCTTGGGTGTTAAAACATTACCGGTGGTTCAGGAGGTAGGGGGAGGGGCGTCACCGGTGCCGGCGGGAGGAGGGGTGTCTAGTCAGCGGCGGGGATGGGGGTTCTGAAAGGGGGGGTCGTGGCTGGTGGTGGGGAGGGTGGTCATGGGTGGGGCTTGGTTTTTTTTATTGTTTACTTTTTGTATTTTTTTACTTTTAATTTTTTTTTAATTTTCAACGAATCATGTGGTGACACGTGTCCCCTTTACCTGTCATAACAGGTTGGGTAACCGGTTTAGGACCATTTTGAGCGAATGACACTTAAAGTTCGGATTATTTAAAAATAATCCATAGTTGGGATTATTTTGAGCGAATGAACGAAAGTTGGGATTATTTTTATCATTTTTTCCTAAATAAATTTTCTCAAAGAAAATTAAGAGAAAGGGACAGATGATTGGCAGGCTTACAGCTGGCCAAAGAAAGCAGATACATTTTAAAGCCTATCAACTAGAATATAATTAGAACTAGCTTAGCATATGTAAGAATTAAGACGATTCCAAAGAATCAGCAATAAAGTCAGAACTCCCCGTAAAAAAAAAAAGAATTAAGGGGCCGTTTGGTTGGGGGTATTCAATAAAGGGAATGGGAATCGACGGGAATCATTCCCTTTGTTGTTGTTTGTTAGGCCACTTTTCCAATCCCCTTTACCCCCTTTATTCCCCCAAATCCCTCTAAGTTCATTCCCCACCCCCCCTAGCCTTTTCCATTCCCTTTCCTTAGCCAGCATTACACCACCGTGCCTACACCAGCCACCACCCTTCTACCTTACCCCCACCGCACAACCACCACCCAACCACCTCACCGCTTTTCCCCCGGCCATCGCCGTCCCTTCTCCGCCACTCGCCCCGACCCACCTCACTCGAAAATCTTCCCCAACCCATCGTCGGAACTCACCGCCCCTGTTTGCACCTCCCTCATCCCTTGCCGGAGGTTGTCGCACCTCCCCCAACCCTCAAAAACCTTCCCCGACCACTCGTCGGCCATCGCTTCCCCTGTTTAGATTGAGCAAAAATCGAATAGAAGAAAAACGAGAATTTGTTGGATTTCTTAATTGGGGTTTTCTAGGATTTGGAGGGTATTGATGATGAATAATTAGGGTTTATGAGCTTGGAATTGGCGGCAATGGCCGGTTCAGAGGAGAAGGAAAGGTGAAAGGGATTAGGGGAAGGTTTTCCGGGGAGGGGGAGATATTTTCGGGGGAGGGGAGGTGCCACGGGTTCCGGGGGATTCCGACAAGGTGATGGCTGGGCAGTGGGGTGGCTGGAGAAGTGAGAAAGTGAAGGAAAAAGGCGTGTGTGGTGGTGTTGGTGGTGGTGGTGTGGTGGGGGTGATTCTCTTTATATTTTTAAAACAAACAACACACTACATGGAATGGTTTTTCATTCCATTCTCTTTCATTCCCTTTGTTCATTCTATTCCGATTCCCCTGCGCGGACCAAACGGCCCCTAAGGTGATTCCAAAGAATCAGCAATAGAGTCAGAACTCATAAGATGTCTTATTTTCGTTTGACTTACTCTATGTTCATAGGACTACCATGAATATGAACTTATCCAATAGACAGCTTCCTCCTATAATTTATGTTGGATAGAAAAAAGATCAAGAATATAATATCAACAAGAGGGAAAAAAGATTTAGCCCACATCAAGCGAAATATATAAGCAAAGTCACTAAGTCAGACATCAATCTTAGTGCCACAGAACTTTCTTTCTTCCAGAGCTACTTCCAAGGAATCCAAGCTAAGGATTCTTTCCAGCAACCAGAACCAGAATCATACACTTTCAACACCAACTGAAACTCTAGTTCTTGCTATTTTATGATTACTATGCACTGAAGCACCAACAATGACACTCATAATCAGATCCAACAGAAGCAGCATAGCGCTTTTTCAAACTACTTTATATGAGGCTGGGGAGTGAAAACTATTGTCCATGCAATGGCTCCAGAAAGACAGGCGTATAAGTTATGGGCGTGATATGACTTTCACAGCATAAAAGAGGGCCATATTGGTGACCCTTACCAGTAAAATAGAAGAAAAGGAAGGCCAAATTCTACTCTGATGTTACCACTTAACAGCACAATAGCATAACATTCAGTGTATTCAATTATTTCAAAATACTTAGGAATAAAACTAGAATAAAAAAAGTACAAACCAAACCAAGACCGTTTTTAAATAGATGCATACCCTGTCATTGTTGATTGAGAATGAGCATAAGCCAAAAAAATTATTAAGAAATACAAATGGATACATCAACTTTTCGCGTGGTATATTAAAAGAAATTGCACAGAGAAACTCAAAATCACAACTTTTGACAAAATTAACAATATTAAACATGTCTTTCTCTGATTTAGTCAATATTTGATGGTGACAAATTTCCAACTCTCAAAGACTATAATGTTTCCTCCAAAAAAAAAAAAAAAAAAAAAAAAAAAAAAACAAAGACTATAATGTCTAATAGTCAAAATGATGTCTTAATATCCATAGTTTACTTTCCAATCATCTGCTATATACATGCTAACCAAGGCCTAAGCAAACAATGAACCAAAAGATAAGTACACAACTACAAATACACTGCGAAAATTCAACCAAGTTCAGAGAATTATACCAAGCACTTCATCACTAATCCATATACAGCTAATCCAAGCACTTCATCACTAAACCATAAAAGACTAACTGATAGAGTGATAGATGTATCCACAATGTGATGATTCAAGTTACCTGTTCCAGAATTCAGATACTTGTCGTAGCCCATTGTAGAAAATAAACCACATTAAGACAATGATTAGCGTATCTGTTCAGGATAAGGAGCTCAATAATAAACTGAAATGTACAAGGTGGTTAGTATGAATTATGAAACTAAGAATGAAATCAACAGATGCCAAATTTGCAAGTCTAACAAAATCCTAGCCCCGCATGAAGAATGGCAAACTTGACATTATTCATGAATTTTGTAAAAGCAAGTAATATTTCCCAGATCCCCCTCAATTAACACTAACAGTAGAGATTGCAAAACCATCTTCGCATCTCTTAAAATCATATATCACTTAATATGGACATGGTCATTACTAACTTAACTACAGTCATCTGACTCATCTCAAATCTTTTATCAGCATCATATACAGACACCAAAGAGACATTGAAATGACTGCAACAATATCACAATAAGACTCATTTTGGATAACAAGAACATCTAACCAATATCCAATAAAAAGATTCATAAACCTTGAACAGATTGATAGCATAAGCAACCGAAAAGGCCAAGTAAGGATTAAAGGATGTGAACCATCGGGCAAATTTTGTCACTTTGAATCCTTGATGAGAATGTGTAAAGGCACAGAGTATGATAACATGTGAATAAATTCATTTGTGAAAACTTTTCTATATAATGTCAAAATTCATAAAGATTGCAGTTTTTAGGCAGTTGCATTCCCATGGGTAATTGTGTAAGAGTGATAGTTATTCATGCTTCGTAGTATGTGTTAGGCTATTAGCTTGTAAATACATAAAATGTCAATCCTTATTCTCAATACTTATTAACACTCACTTCCTCGTTTCCCTATCACCAATTTCTACCTACATAACCCCTCAAGGCCAGAACATCTAATTCCCAAGTCCTCAAATTACAATAGGTTTATAATGAAACTTACATGCACAAATATGGCATACCTAGTAAATCATATACCATCATAGAACTTCAAAACCTTTCTAATTCAAAACATGAAGGTTTTTTGGGTAAATACTTGGAGTTGTCTTCCATGTTTAAAAAATTGTGAGCTCAACAAGTTCATTGAGGCTGCCTTTCCATCACTTTAGGAGCATAACATAACACTCAAAATTCCCAGGAATGAGTTGAGTTTTTTCAATCGGCTGCCTAAACTTCTGTTCACAACCCCTATAATCTCTTGCAGCAACATCAGTATCAACCCTTTTCAAACATCAAAAGAATGGAACCGAATTGCTATCTGGAATATTTTTGTCAATTTTCTTATCATTGAGAATTTTTTACTTTGATCTCCACCAACAATGGCGGTTTCCCTCCATCAAAGACCAGCACATATGGCATACCCGACCTCATAACAAACCCATACCCTCTTTCTCTTCCAACAAAATGACCTTCTCTTCTCATTCACAACAGCCCCATCCTCCTCTCGGTCTTCATCATCATGGGTTCTATGACATTTTATAAGATTCATCAATCTTGCACATACCTACAAGCTAGCAGTATAGACATAGTATATGAACATAAGCCAATTACCCCAGCGACACCTAAAAAACAGCAATAATTCTGAATTTTAACATCACTTGAAAGGGTTTTGCTCAAATTATTATGCTCCACATGTTAACTCATACTCCTAACCTCTATAAAATTACACCCAATATCATTTAAGAAGACAAAACTTTCCCATTGGTTCTTATCCAATAATCCACAAAGCAAACTTTGTCGGGTTCAATAGTATATGTTTATTCACCTATTCCACTATCACTTTCTTGTATATAATAATTTAGCTGCTGATATTTAACGCTGCATAGTCTTTGAGGTTCCCATGAACTAAATAGATATAGCAGTGGAAGCAGTACTCATCCTCAAATAATGCTATATGCCTATACTTTATCATAGATTTATAGTAGTTTGTGAGTACTGACACCTAGTCTAGGAGTGGAAACACATCAAGGCAAAAAGGCTACTTCACAAATCCACTACCACAGTCCACAGCGACATGTTAAATAGCATAAACATATGGAGGCCGCAAATAATACAAAAGTAACGCTCCCACCAATCTAACATATCAAGGCAAATTGGAATGCATGACAAAGAAGAGAAAAAAAATATATATGTAAAGGATACTGAAAAGGTAACGCTCCCACCAATCTAACATATAGAGTCCAAAAGTAACATTGTATAAGTAGATCTTGCGTTGCACCCAATTCATGATTTCTCAAGGACCTTCACCTGGAAAAACCTAGAGCAATGTCATATTCATGATTTTTCTATACATGAATTGAAAGTTTGTATCATAAATAATCTACAACTGGTTATAATTATTCACTAAGCACAATCAATCACCTTTCACAAATACAGAGCAGCAAATAATGTTTATTTGTATGCCACTTGTAGTAAAACCAAAAAAGCCAGGAATCACTTACACTATGTTTGGATAGAGAGAAATGGAGGAAAAGGAAGAGAACAGAAAAGCAGAAATACATTATCCTTTGTTTGGATATCTAATGCAACGAGGGAAGGGGAGAGAATTAAAAGGATCAGTTTTCCTTCCCTAGTTAATAAATCAAATCTCTCCATTGTTGGAGAGATTTGGAAGAAACATGGAAGGTCACCTTCTCCCTCCCCTCCCCTCACCTCGCTTTCACTTCACTCTTTTTCTTTCTACTTCCTTTCTCTTCACTATTGTTATCCAAACATAGTGTCAATATTATTCTCATCGCAACTCCAATTGTCTAATGCCAAGTTAACATACTACGCATATTAGAAAAGTACAGATATTATTCTAATTTGTTTCCCATCATATGCCTCTTGCATATTTCAACACTTTTAGGCTTTATCATATTGAGAAAGCGAGATTCATATTAGCTTAAAATCTTAGACAGGGTGAATAGCTACAGGAGAACCATCACCTGAACTATATTCAATTTTCCAATTCTTATTCATTTGATAGTCTTTATTTTGGTGCAAAGGAAGACCACTCCGATGAGTTCAATCTCTTTTTGATGTAACTAATTGTTTAGATATATGAGCTATAAAATCAGTATATACCATGTCTTAATCCCTACATAATTTTATCCAAGGAAGGAAAAAAGGTCCATTGTTTTCTTTTTTTTAAAATCCAATGATCCACAAAAGCATCCTCGGGTGGGGGATGACAAAATAAAAAGCTAAAGCAATGAGAAAATAATGCTATCTAAGAAGATGTCATCACCCTGGTTTATGGTGATGAAATGTTGAAATCAAGTTTCAAATTGAGTGTGGGCAACAATTTTTCTACCACTCCCAATCCCCGCATAACAGGAAACATTGATCCCTCCCCAGCCAAGATCAACGCTGTGACTAAAACCAAGTTATCAAATAATTTCAATAGCAACAATAAAATCGGCAACTCAGGGTGCAATTCATTCACCGATTTGATTTCAAACTTTTTTACTAGGTAAATTACCCATCTCAGGTGGCAAACGATCACAGTCAATATCAACAATCGTTCCATTTACCTTATATGATATATACAATGTTGCATCTAACTTTAGATTAACATTATACATAACATAATACACTTAGATATAGTATCATATGCAGATCTAAGCAAGTGCAAAAGCTCCCCTACGCATCAAACTCCATAACATACATGTATTGCTAAACTCAAACAAATTCTCAATCATTATCACATCCTACCAAATTAGAGGGTTTTGCTTATCAACCTTAAAACAAACAAACATAGTTCTCGGTCAACTTAAATTAAATCGAACAATAAAGCTAATCAATTTGCAAATAAGGGTATGAATTTTTCGGGAGAGAAAAAAAAAAAAAAAAGAATTTTGAAACTTAATTCTGAATCATTCTTTAACAAATGTATTGAAAGTTGCAAAATTTATGCAGAACAATTTGGTACTTTGTATATTTTAGAGCACAAAATAAATAAAAGAGCATAGGAAAAAAGAAAGAGCGAAAATTGGTGGAATTACCTGGTGAAGATGATGAGAGAGTCGTTTGATGAATTGAAGTTACTGGGTCTACCAGGCTAACGTGGTAGAGATCAGTTTTTCTTAATCAAATTTAAAGGGAATACGCAAACTCATGTGCAACTTTGCTCTACGAAGCAAATAAGGGGTATGGCCTCGAAACTAGGGCCATTCACACTAGTCGAAACAATAATAAGGAGTATAAGGTCTAACGAGAAATTCTTCTACGAAATATAACTGTATACAGAACTATAAGGGTGAACATCCAATCATCTCTAATCTTGCTACTTGAATGTCTCGTTTATTTTGTTTGCTAACCAATCCACATCTTCATTCTCTTGTTTATACCAAAAATGGAAAGAAAAAAAAAAAAAGTCATTTCTTGTGCTTTAATTAGATCATTTTTTGGTATTTATGGACAAGTGTGTACGCATTCATTGTCGCGTGTAGTTGTACTTGAAGTGCTTAAAGTGGAAGATTGAATGACCATTTGGATGATTAACTTTCATACCCCCATTCTTTTAGCAAGAGCAAGTCTTACTTCTACAATCTTTATCTCAACTCTTATGGTCCTACGACCAAACCATTAATTTTCTTTTAATTGCGATAGTTTGATACTTTGATGAAAGATAGTAGGAAACTAACAACGGTCAAAATCTCAACCTTTTTGTAATTTTTATAGTATTAATTAATGGTACATAATAAAAGTTAGTACTCGTATCAGGTTTTCTATGCTTGATAACATAAATCCGTTCCAATACCGTCACTACCTCGTGTGGTGTGTGGTGAATTCTTATTCACTTTAAGAGCTAGATGGGAAGTAAGCAATAAGTAAACAAGTTATGGCTTTCAAAACGTATGAAAATTTTGTTCCAAAAAAATTAGTACTCTTACATGATAAGAGGTTTGTTCAGTCAATAATGGCTTGCGTTCATTTTGAACAAGCACACCCTATTTTTGGTCCTCGTATATACTAAAGTGCGACTGTACGAGTAATAAACATTATTTATCAATTGATACATTAAATTACCGATAAAAATCACTCGTGTCTAGTAGACGTTCAAAGTGGACACTGCACAAGCCACTATAGTTTTAACTTGTACTCTTTTCATCCCTTATTTACATGCCTACTTCCTGTTATACACGGGAATTAAGGAACTTAAAAGGCATAATTGGGAAATACAAATATGTATGTTGGGTTAGAGAGAGATAGAGAGAAATAAAAAGTAGTTGGTAATTATTGAAGAGATGGAGAGAAAAAGCGTTGGAAAATAATGTCAAAAATACAAAAATAAAAAATTGAAAAAAAATAATGACAACTCATCAAAGAAGAAATATTATCAAAAATACATTCTTATTAATTTTGAAACCCAAAAAAAAAAAGTAGCCAGGTAAATAAATAAGGCCATAAGTTGATGTTCATGGGTCATTGAGAAGGGTTGGCTTCCTCTCTCCCGCCTCATACTGCAGTACACTGAAAATCAACTAGTCACTTCTTCATATCTAGGGCTAAAAAATTCCATGTCCCAGAATACTGAAACTGTGATCAATTATATTCCGCTGTTTCTTTTCAGGCAATGATCTGCAACATTACAAGAATGCACACTTCCTGTTCGATGAAATGTCTCAACGAACAAACCCACCTGAAAAAACTGTGTGAGATTGTAATAACACAATAAAATCAGTTATTGTTGATTTGAATTGCCAAAAATGTTGAAGATTGTGACTTACAACGTTAATGGCATCCGACAACGGATAACCCAGTTTGGTTCTCTCCTTAAATTACTCGATTCTCTCGATGCTGACATCATCTGCTTCCAGGTTTCCCCTTCTTTTAATCTATTCTTATGTGGAATTATAGAGTAATTGATTGAATTTATTTATTGGTTTGATTGATTTAAAGTTTTGAAATTTAGGAGATTAAAGCGACAAAACAAGAGCTTACTGCAGATTTGATAATGGCTCAAGGGTATGAATCCTTCTTTTCTTGTACTCGTACCTGTGGAAAAGGTCGCACTGGTTATTCAGGTATCATTTCTTTGCCTAATTGCCCTCCATTTTCCTTGGCGGGGTTTTTGTATTAGCTCGATATAACTAGGTAATACCCGAGTCATGCTCGATTATTTTTGTTAACTGATACTCCATATTGAACAAAAGATTGACATTGGGCTGTAACATTTAATTTACAATGCAAGCATTTATAAATTGATACCCGTTAAGACCTATTTTGATATGCTTTTCTTATTAGAGAATTTAGTGGGAAAAATTGATTTAGTGATTTTCGCTTTTGAATGTTGTATAGATGTTCATATTTCCTTAAAGTGGAATTTGGAACTGAGTATGCTAGATTTTACCTATATGAATGCTTCCTTCTGAGTTGCTCATAAATTTTAAGCATGTTTCTTTGTTTATCAAGCGAAGTGAGTAGCATATCTATCATTTCCCATTGAAATGTAGTAACATGAGATAGCATTTGTAGGTGTTGCAACGTTTTGCCGTGTAAGATCTGCCTTTTCTAGTACAGAAGTGGCATTACCTGTGGCTGCAGAAGAAGGCTTTACTGGTCTTTTAGGTACTTGTGGAAATGAATCTAGTAGTGAGGTTTTTTCAGACTTGGAATGCCTTAAGGAGTTTCGAAAAGATGAGCTTTTAAAGATCGACAGTGAGGGACGCTGTGTCATCACAGATCACGGTCATTTTGGTACCTAGACAAGGCTTTCATACTATTGATCATTTCATCTATTAGCTTACAAGCTGTGTTGTAGTGATTAAAAATTTGAAACTATGCAATTCATCCTAGGGTTTCAATCCATTTTCCATGATCCTGCACACTGACTTTACATTCTGTTTCCAGTTCTTTTCTGATTATTTTGATATCTTATTGAAAGTTTTTCAACAATATTTTGTAAAGTTGCTATGTTGGGATTACAGTTCTATTTAATGTATATGGACCTAGAGCAGCTCCTGAAGATGAAGAGAGGATCCAATTCAAAGCCAACTTCTTCAAGATTATGCAGGTATATGTGTTCTGATATCTGATATGTACTTTCCATTGCTCTCTTGTGTTGCCAAGAACTTTGGTAGCAAGAGTACATATTTTATGCGTATATGTTTAAATCAATTACATGCATCAATGTTTAGCACTGTTTAATACTCTGTCCATAAAGTTGGCTACACTTTGAAAATTTACAGAAATGAAGGATTGTGCATTTATCTCTTGTGTATTACAATAACTAGTGACAGAAACAATATCTGTGCCTGATAATAGTGTAAGGTAAACCATAATTTAGGGTAACTAAAAACAATAAAATTACAAGTTTTATGGGATGAAATGAGTTGTAAATAGAGTTTCAGTATGTATTCTTACTTGATGTGAATGATGTCTTGTTGAATTGATAATATATTCCTCTCAATTAAGGACCCGTGCTATTCTAATGCTTAATATATATCTGGAAATTGGATATAAGATCCTCTGATATCACCAACAAACTGACTACTTTACAGGCAGTTTTATATTGTTACAGAAATGAAAAGGAAAATTTAATAAAACTTTCAAGAGTAGGATCAAAGAGTCTTTTCATAAGATAAATCACAATTTTCATTTAGCATTATAGACAGGCTATCTGACTGTCCGTCTGTTTGTCTCTGTGTGTTTGTGTTTATTGGACTTTTGAAATATGAAGTTTTTTTTTAGAAAAGATGGGAATTGCTTCAACAAGAAAAGAGGCGGATAATTGTAGTAGGGGATCTGAACATTGCTCCTTCTGCTGTAGATCGCTGTGAACCTGGGCCAGACTTTGAGAAAAATGAGTAACTATCAATCTTCTAATTTTCAACTTATGTGGTTGGCATTTAAAGCATTCACCAATCTCCTTTTCTTTTCTTCTTCTATTTCTCTTGTTAGGAGAACGAAATTAGACTTTCAGCTTTTCTAAGATAATGTTTATGCCTTTTTTACAGGTTCCGTAGATGGTTTAGGTCTCTGTTGGTGAAAAATGGAGGTTCCTTTCTTGACCTTTTTAGAGAAAAACATCCAGAAAGGTCTTTAACCTCTTTACATTAGGTTTTATTCTTTGCTATACATACAAATCATAAGTCTATGGAGCTTTCATATTTTTGCAATGATCTAATTGTTTAATCATCTTCTTCTCATGCAGGGCAGATGCATATACATGCTGGCCAGTACATACAGGTGCTGAAGAGTTTAATTTTGGGAGCAGGATAGACCACATCCTTGCTTCTGGTGTATGCTTACACCACATTCAGGGAAATGATGATCATAACCTTGGTGTTTGTCATGTTGAAGAGTGTGATATAATGACACAATTTAGAAGGTGGAAGCCTGGAATCTCATTGAGGTATATGATTAATGATCTAATTCTTGGCAGAAAGTGGGGCATGCTACATGGTTTTGAATGTCAAAATGATAGTGCTAGAATTTGGTAAATGTATGTTAGTTGGAGCCAGGATTTTTTATGAGCAAGGAAAGGGAATGATAGTCTTTTCTAACAATTGCCTCCAAATAAAACTATTTTATTACTTTAATTGATACTTTTTATTGATTTTCTTTTGATCCTTCTATTTCATTGAAATTGTATGTTAAAAATCTTTATATTTTGTTTATATAGAGAAAAATATAGACATATGGTAAATCATGGTTTGAGGTACTCTGGGTGAAAATAATATATGTCCTCTTGAGTCTTGATATCAACTCTTCGTATAACAAATAGTTATAGTTCACTGTAGATCTGATGTGATGTTTACTAAATTGCAAGTTGTTTTGAGATAGCATATTCTTGGCTAGTACGTCATGGATTAGCTTATTAAATTTGGGATCATCATTCCCTGCGATCTCACTGTTATGTTTTGCTCTGTTCTATAGCTGGAAAGGAGGTAGAGCTACTAAACTGGAAGGTTCTGATCATGTTCCTGTGTTTGTTACACTTAAGGATATTCCTGATATTCAAATCCACAGTACACCACCTCTATCCGCCAGATATATGCCAGAGATCCGTGGGTCACAACAAACTATTGGTATGTGACTTTTCCACTGTCATTTGATGATGCTGTGAACATATACATATCAATCAACCATGGTGTTCATATATTGATGTGTGCACATCTTATCTATTGCAAAACTTCCAAGCGTGGAAAATAGTACTATATATAGCGGTCAGAGATCTCTATCTTAAGATGGAAAAACATGAACAATCGTATAGAACTGAGATATTACCGATGAAATGAAAACCAATATGCGATTTTATGGTGGAACTCCTAGCATCCTGGAGCTTCTCTTTAGGAATGTTTATGGTTGTTGTATCAAATTGTATCTCCTCTCTAACAGTTGTCCATTTTAGGAATGTTTTAAAATCTTCTATCACTCTAATCTTACCTTTACACTGGTTCTTCATTTTCTTTCATTTCTTAGCTTGCTCAAAGATTAGAGAAGGGGCAGGGGTCTACACTTGCACGTGACCCGCTAGCTCAATTAGGTTGCCACTAATAGCGATCATAGCTGCTGGAGTGTCTGGTGGGTGGAGATTGCTGATGTACAGGCAGGTCATGCGGCAAGTGTTGTTAAAGACTTTAAAATAGAAGCTTAAATTGGAAAGATATTGCTCAGTGCCATAGACTCTTAGGTGTTCTCTTTCTACTCCGTTGTGTTGGACCTTTGGCTATATCTCTTATAGATCCCACAATTTTTGCTTCATTATTTACAGGATCTATTCATCTGTCTTAAATTTGTAATTCAGCTCTACATTTTATGCAGTGTCAATTTTGATGAAAAGACAGATGACTGAAAGAGTTGGTGCTGGTACGCTGACAAGTCCAGCCACACAAGATGATGATGACATCGATTTAATTGGAAGGATTGAAGAAGCATCTTATTCTTGCAGTGTATCAAGCACTGACTTAAATACACTATCATCTTCAGTGATGAATTCCTGTGAAAATGAGCCCTGTACTTCCAAAGAAAGCCAAGATGCGGCCACAGCAGGTAATCGGCTGATTCGATCAATACCAGGTGTACCAAAGAAGAAGAAAATGAAACAAAATCAACATTCTCAACTCTCATTGACATCCTTTTTTCAAAAAATTCCTGGTACTTGTGATAGTGTGGAAAAGTCTACCAAGGATGCATCAGATAACCTAGAAAGTACTGTCATTTCTCCTGATTATGTGAAAGAAACAACAGAAACTATCAACAAGGAAGGCAATTTTGATGAAAGTGCTTCTTCTCAAGAGCATAACCCTCCAACTGATTGCTGTCCTGAAAATGATAGAAAGACTGCTGTGATGGAGTGGCAAAGGATTCAACAACGCATGCAGGATAGCATACCTCTATGTGAAGGGCATCGTGAACCCTGTGTTGCTCGGATTGTAAAAAAATCAGGTCCTAATTTTGGGCGAAGATTTTATGCTTGTGCACGCGCTGAGGTATTTTTTTTTATCTGTAGTCACATAATAAGTTTTAATACCTAAATAAGATGCTTATAAAGTTATGATATGGTGACGAGGTTACAAAGATCATTTTCGCTGTTACCAATTCATTTATCTGAGTTGAGATTTTCTTACATCTAGTCCACCCAAGTTTGTTCTTTTAATCTCTTTGTTCAGTATATTTTTTTCTCCAACTATTCCTGCAGCATTACTTGTTTCAAAGATTAAGATTATAATGCAGTTTATGAATGTGGTTGAGGGTATTGGACTAATGGTACTTAAAATGGACATTATTTATGCAGGGCCCTGCATCAAATCCTGAAACTAGATGCGATTTTTTTCGATGGGCTGACACAAAATCAAGACAGAAAAAATAGTCTTAACACTATCTGCAAGGAATCCGAGTTCAGATGTAAATGACCCGTCATCCTAAGTCCGGTTCTTGCTATCTAGTTAGGATACTGTTATATCTTCCTGTGGTGTTTCACAGTTCTGATAATTATTTTTGCTCTTCTGTTGACGTCTCTTGTGATCTTGCCCTTGTAATTTTAGTCCCTTAGGATTGAGCTTCATTGTTCTGTTGTACCATGTAATTCCTGTAAATGATGTATCCCAGTTAACCATCAATTGTTCAATGTATCTTTGCCATTCACAACATCTTTAATTTCATGAAAGTTTCTCACATTTCATTTGCGCGGTTTGTGAAGTTCTGACTGTTGATGCAGCTTGCTGAACTATTTGAGATCCATGCACAGATGGACATAATTTGATGTGTTCTTATTTATAGTACGGTTTTGTAGGGATCCAATGATGTCTTAGCCTTGTGTTTCAAACTGAAACCGGGAGTGATTGTCTAATGTTTAAAGCCCTCCACGGATTTATGAGTGTCCTAGTCTTGTTGTTCTATTTCGAGTAGTAAAAGAGTAAAAGTTATGCTAAGCTTAATCTTAATAATACAACTTAATAACATGGCATTTAACATATATTCCATTTGTTTAGAGAAAGTACTCCTAGTAATTGGTCAATTGACTGCTATGCGAATTTGGCTCCACATAAGTGTAATAGCCATGACAAAGCACACGGGATATCCTCAACAAATCTAATACGAAGTAATTCTTATGTTGGTTGGTCATAAAACTCATTTTGTTGTATACAGGTGAAGGGTAGGCCCTTGGGCCTATTTACATAGAGTCTAACGGCTATCCTATGAGCCGTTACGTTCTTTATGTGGGCCTTAAAACAAGTCGTGGCCAACCATGTCTAAGTTCCAATTCATTAAGAAACAACAGTGATGTAAACGAGATTTGATCTCATGTCTTAAAACCCAAGACTTTAACCAACTAAACTAGTTGACATCTATAAACTTAAATTGTTGTACTTTTTTGTTAGTAAACATTCTAATTGTTAGTAACAAAATTTCTAAACTAGAATGATAATATAAACTCTCTTTGTGTTGAGGCCTAACAAACTGTGAAGCCACCAAGGTACAAGTTGATGCTGCATGGAAAAAGAGAAGGAAAAAGGGTGAATTGGGAGCAGCAGTAGTCAGGGGTGGCATAAAATCTTTGCTACTTCACCACTACAAGCAGAATGTGTGGCAATCCGAAAAGCCTTGGAAGACATCCCAGCATTTTATTCAGAACCTGATTATAAAAACAGATAGTTCTGAAGCAATTACAGCTCTGTTACACCCAGGAAGACATGGTGCAGAGATAAATAAACAGGCTCAGCAAATAGAACGCTAGCAAAGGAACGGGATGCTGTATTTTTGGTTTAAGGCTTCAAGAATGCAAGCCCACTTGGCGCACACTCTTGCAGGGAAGGCTGGACGAGGAATCATTCAACTTTAAACTTGTTTAAAATGTTTCCAAAAAAAAAAAAAAAATTCCCTTTGTAACGAAAATAATAAGAAACCACGGTAAATGAGAACATCTTTTGAAAACAACTAGAGTTTACAGTAGATGATTTTTGGGGTGTGTTTCATTCACCTGATTTTTACTTATTTGCACTTGGGTAACCCTAATTAAAACTTATTTTTTCTGAACTATACTTATCTGAACTTAACTGAACTCTTATCTAAACTTATTACACTTGAAATAAGTGAAAATAAGGCGAACAGAACAGACCCTTAAAAACAACGAGAATCCACAGTAAACAAGTATTGTACACCTTTTGAAAACAATGAGAGTCCAAAGCAAATGAAACACATCTTTTAAATACTATAAGAGTCCACAATAAATGAATACATCTTTCGAAAACGAGACTCTAAAGTAAACAAATACTTTACACCTTTCAAAAACAACGAGAGTCCACAGTAAATGAGTATATCTTTCGAACAAAATCCACACTAATAATTCCCTCGTCGTCAAATGGATAACCGTTAACCACAATAGGAAACTTAATAATCAAATAATGAGTCACGACCAAAACAAAATCAATTCTTTTAAACAAAACAAACAAACAAAACAAATACCCTTTTTTCTTCGTACCCCTTAAAATCCGCCCCCACCTAAATCCGTTACACCACTTCTCACCAAAACTACCTTCCAATCTTCCTCCAATGCTCTCATTTTCTCTCTCCTCCGTTCATTTCAAATCTCCCAAAACCTTCCCCGGTAACGTCTCTTCTTCTCCAGAACCTTCCAGATTCCGACGCCCTTCCGCCGTCGCTGCCACCGCCTCACCGGAAACCTCCGCCAATTCATTTTACGAAGTCCTCGAGATTCCGATCGGCGCAACCAACGAGGAGATCAAAGCAGCTTATCGAAGACTCGCTAGGTCTTGCCACCCTGACGCCGCCGCACGTGGCGAGGTGAAATCCGCCAACGAGTTCATAAGAGTTCACGCCGCGTATTCCGTACTGTCGGACCCCGACAAACGCGCTGATTATGATCGGAAGTTGTCGCGGTATTCCCGACCGCCGGGGAGACCGTTTCCGGGATTGTCGAATTCCCCGACGTCGTCGTTTTGTAGGGTTCCGAGGCGGAATTGGGAGACGGATCAATGCTGGTGATGACGACGATGTTTTTGAAAAAAGTCAAGCCTCCTCACATTTTAGGTTTTTTTTTTTTTTTTTTTTTGGTGGCTGTAAATGTTATGAATTGAGTTTATTGACATTAATTAATTATATAATTAGATTAGATAAAATATGATTATGTGAGTGAGATTGATCAAAATACTCTCTTGAAACTTTGAAAGTATATTATGGAGAATGTAAATTATGTATGATAGATGTTTTTACGTGGTGATATTGTACATAAAATTGTTATATTCTCTTCGTCTCATGATCAGTGTATGTTTAAAAATGTTTTACATAGTTTTATCATTTGTCTCAATTATTTACATTTTTAAAAAAAAAAAATCATAATCATATTACACACTCCTCTGACTCTCTGAGGCCTCTCTAGTCTCTACTAGTACATTTTATGCCTGTGAAAAGTAAGAAATGACACTATTTATGAATAGAGGGGGTACCGTAGTAGTATGGTTATTTTTTTTTGATTCAGGAGTAGTATGGTTATTTCATAGTATTAGTTCTGTTTTTTTCGTATTAGTTCCAACTCTTTGCTTAGTTGTCATCGTTTTTTATAGTAAGTATATTTTTTTATTAATGAATTGCATTTTTTATTAAAAAAAAAAACCTAGGTTCATAAAACTATGGATTAGATATCAACAATATTAAGATACTATTGTACATTTGTGCTATCCTCCCTGTATGATTTCTATCTCTTTTTTTTTTTTTCCTTTGGACTTGTTCACCTTCATGACTTCATGTCAAGTTGCCAAAAAATTAATATCACAAGGCTTCAACTTATGAGATATTTGCCATAAACAATAGACTTGACTCATTGGGACCATAAAGTATTAATTCGATCTTAGAAGTACATCTATTTTATTGTAATGTAGTGATATATATGAAAAATAAGAGATATTTTGAATTCTTGAGGATATAGTATAAAGTTAGTGGATAGTGAAGTATGAATGAAATTAGAGAAAATGAGGTGGAGAAAGAAGAAAATGAGAGAATTGTTGGGCAATCACAATATGGTGATTGTGATTGTTCGATCTAATAGTCGAAATGATTAAAGCGGTCTAGTTTATGATAATGTAAGAAAGATGCTTGTTTGTCCCAAAACAAAGAGCTCATCAATGAACAAATAAAACATACTTCACAATCAAAAATCAAATAAAACCAAGCATAACCAATTCAAGGCAAATCCAATAAATATGCATCAAAGGCAACCAATTAAATTCATCCAATTACTCATCCTCCCTAACAATTGTCAAGTAGAGCAAACCACAAGTGTATATGAAATTCAAAACTAGTGCTCACGCACTCTTGACTCTTTATGTGGCGGATATAAGATGTATCTGATCGCTCTCCATCCAACCCCTTTAATGTGAACAATGTCCTCCCAAACTCGCAACACTCGTGTGTTTAAGAAAACAAGCACTCAACCTAGTAGTCGACTCGAAATATATCAAATCATTCTTTGCATTGATAAACAACTACTTTCACATCCATACAACTCTATGCACAAAGGTCAGAAGGTCTTCAAAGCTTGTAATGTAAGGCTAGGGTAAAAGGTAGGATAAATTTGGGAAAATGTAAAAGTAAAGCCATGCATAAGGGAGCCAAATCCTAGTAAATAAAACCAAGGTCAAAATTAAATAATGACCAATCATCTCCAACACAACTCAACTCAACCAAATATTCACCAAACAACCAATAATATCAACAATTCCCAACTCTTACACTCTCGCTCATAAAAAATATAATAATTAAGAACTTGAGCGAATCAAACAAACTTTGGAACTCTTTAACACTTGATTTTCTGTTTTTTTTTTTCATTGAAACTCAAAAATTCTTGTTCTTTTGAACAACCTTCTCTTAGAACATTTGAACATTAAACAATTTTTTTTTTTTATTTACATCATGCTTTATTTTTTCAAGAGAATTAATCTTTCAACAATCATCAAATAAACCACAATCAAGAACAAACAATTTCTCAACACCACCCAAATTGTGCAAATAACAAGCACACTACAAACTCCCTCACCTCACTCACTAATAGCTCCCCCAAGCCAAGCTTGGGACTAGTAACCAATGGGGCAAAATCGACTTGTAATGTAGCTAATAAACAATAAAAATTCAAGGCAACAACATGGGTAGCAAGAAGGGAAGAAATGTATCTAAAATCATCTGAAGGCCACCTAAAAGAACAAATGTCTTCGTCCTCCTCAATGTGCATAATAATGAGTCATACAAACATTATTCAAAGTTGCAAACCAATACTCAACTTCATTGACATACCAGGAACTAACACATAATTCCTAACCAAAGCAACTAGCCAAGCACCAAATCCACAAATAGTTGGACAAAATTGACTCATGTTAGGGCATCCAAGCAATCAAACATCAAATCATGGCTAACCTATCCACAATACTCATCATATACCAAGAATCATAACGATTTTCATGTATGGGGCACAGGGAAGCATGATTTATCATTCATTGGATCGTATTTTTGTACTTTATTATTTTTTTGAAAGCAATAATATCTATACTATGAAAGCAAAGAAAACTAAACTAAGCACACCAAAGATAATAAAAAGAAAAGGGAAAGAAAGAGTACCTATATATACAAGAAATTCCCCCCGAGCTAAATCAGACAATGTCCTCAT